CCGATTGATTTATTAAATCACTGTAAAGGTCAGCAAAGAAATCCAGGTGCTGCCTGGAATATTTCTGTGGCCAATTAATACCCAAATTGCAGAAACAGCATGTATTTCCTTGTAGTCAGAAAAGCACAACTGAGCAAACAGGGTTAGTATTGTTGACTCTGACCGATATCATTGTGACCTGCCTGAAACGGCTGTCCCTAGAGACCCTCTGAATGGCGATTGAGGGCCAGGCACTCGAAGCAGGCCTCTGGGAAGGAAACCCAGTGCCTTGGCTGGTTCTGTGGAGCGAGCATTTGGGGGTCAAAACCTATTGCCATCACTTCTGCTTGGACAGCAGTAAGTTCCTGTCATTTCTAATAGTGCACGTGTTCTGAATGCAAATGTGCTTTTCATCTTTAATTTATTCGAGTGACATTTTCTTCTGCCTCTGCGACAATGCAAATTTTATCTAGCTGCATAGCACACTTTGTGGTGCATCAATTTCCAAATGGGGGGCTGTAAAGTGACACACGTTTTATATTCAAATGAGGAAAGTCTTCTTTTAAACATATTTACCAAGACATAGGGGGATTCATGGACAATCCTGTGATGCACTTATTAGACAAAGAAATAAACTGGAAAAAAGAAAATAAAGAGGAAAGTTACCTGTGGCTTCATCACACTATACATTCTTGTTGATTTTATTCCCAGTACTTTTGAAAAAGTTATGAGATCTGTGGAAAGCAGGACAAACTCCAATAAGGAGACACTGAGTGCCTGCCTTTCTTTTTCATTCCTGATAGCAAATTGTAATGAGACTTTTTCAAAGAATACCCATTCACGAAGATGGAAAATGAAGATACCTTAATTAGAAAAATGGGGTTAGTCACGATGTGGCCATTTTAAAGAGTTTGGATCAGCCAACTTGCATTTTAGCACATTAATTACTAGAAAGGTGTTTTGTAAGCTGATGTTGAGAGTTGTGTCTAAGAAGTTACAACATCACATCAACAACAACAAAAAGGTCCCATCTCCAGTTACACATCATGTTGTACTGGTGGCATTCATTTTATTTTACATCAGGACATTTGGGAAACCTATAATAACACATTTTATTATTGCCACATTTTGTCTATTTAAATGGAACATATGCATTAAGACTATAGACCAGTCCATACTGGTACTGTCCCCTAAAGAGGAGAGGTTTATTACGTGCACATTAGTTTCTGGAGACTGCGGCATGCAATTACGAAATTCCATAGAGACAGGGAGGAGGTGGCAAATGTGGATGAGCAGAGCACCGCTTGGTGTGAAAGCAGGTGGAGCTTGCAGTAGCTGTGACTTGGTAAGTTATTGAACCTCTCTAGACTTTGCTGTGGTCTCTGAATAACTATCTCAAAGGGATTTTGTCATTATGAAATAATAGCAAATGCCTGTCACATGGTAGGTATCCACATTTATTTCCTTCATCCCTTCCTGCACTGATCTGCTGAGACTGACCTTGATGACATGGGTGTAACTACCTGATGGTGAGGTGGGTTGAGGCCCATCTTCTGTTCTGATCCCCACAGATCACTCTTGGCAGGAGAACTTGGCCCTCCTGACCTCCAGATTGAAGTTTTCTGCAGGCTTTGCCCTATAAAAACTTCAGCCTACAGATAAGCTTTTTAAACAAATGCCAATTCAGAACCTCTTTGTGACAAAGGGTTTTAGGATAATGAGCTGAAAAGCTGTCACTCACCAGGGCTACTCATCTGAAGTTTTTGGTTTTTGAAGTCTATTGAAGCTAGAAAAGAAGTAAAACATTCTCAGTGGTTCTAAAAGAGTTAAACATGAAGGGCTTCAGTAAGGTGAATGTATTTTGCTTTTCAACCACATGGCCTCACATGGCCCTTTAGAAGAATATAGAGGTATTGAGTCTAACCAGACTGGTAGGAATTTTATTAATTGGTCTCATCCACAGATTTCTATATTTATTTATTTATTAAATATTTATTTTTTAATTGTAGTTGGCATAATACCTTTATTTATCTATTTATTTTTATGTGGTGCTTAGGATCGAACCCAGGGCCTTGCACGTGCTAGGCAATTGCTCCACCACTGTGCCACAACCCCAGCCCTCTATATTTATTTTTTTTTTGAATAATTTTTATCTCCTAGGAGTGTGTCTTGTTGGCAGCCCTCAGTTGAGTTCATATTTACAAAGAATATGCTTCATGGAGAACAAATACACATATGTAATGAGACTTAAAAGTCTTCTAAAGAGACAATGACACTACATAAACAACACTGATGCGGAAGCATCCATCATAAGGGGACAGAAAAGTCACTTTTTTTTTTTTAAGCATTTTCTAAAGTTGCTCACTTCATTGTCCCTGTGACACACAGATCAAGTGCCACATAGGCTTTCAGAGCAAAATGCTGGAAAGAGAATTTTAAAAGGAGGATGACTGGACAGAATATTTAAAAAGAGACAGGCACCTACCAGGAGGAGGCTGAGGTAGGGTAACCAAAACCCAGACCCAGGCTGGGCTCAGGATCAGTGCCCACCCCATGCAAGACTACAGTGCAGATCAGGTGTCTCCACCAGGAGCCCTTTAAAAACACACCAGAGATCTACATTCATAAAGATGGCGGGCATGCCCCTCCTCCCACTCTATTGGCCAGGCTCCACAAAGGCAAGGGCCCCTCGGCTCTGCGGGTCTCACCCTTCCCCACTCCTCTATGCTCCTTTCTCAGCTACCCCAAGGCCGGCAGCAGGTACGCCACCAGTTTCTTCTCTCTGCAGCATCAGCCGGTCCCAGTCCTTTCCGGGCAGCCCTCTCTGCAGTCAAGGGCTTTCGCTAGGAGCCGTGGGAAAAAAAGTGCTGATGGACTTAAGATCTCTGAGGGTGACCTGACATCCTGGGGAAGGGAGCTGGCACAAAGGAAAAGAATCCATGAACAGCCAAGGGTGTGGTGTACTGCAGACTCCTGCACGGAGTGTGAAACTGTGTGGTTTACATGGAGCAGGTTAAAAAACCCGTTCGGCCACCTTTCATCCACATATGGGTAATGGGGCGCGGAACACTATATGGCTTATCCAGGCTCGCGCTTCGCCGCTCCTCTCTCCTGACAGAAGGAAGGATTTCCTCCTGTTGAACAGCTTATGGAGGAGACCAAAGATATTCAGGCTATGAAAAGTCTTCAGAGTAAGTACCCTAGCGTCTGCCAGGGCCAGGGTTCACGATAGCCTGGTGACCTTAGTCTTGAGATCCTGGAAGGTGTGCGCTGGGGAGACGGAGCTCCCCAAGTCTTGATAGATTCAACCACCCATATTGGCCGTTTCTAAATTTGCATCCTTCCAGTGAAACTTCTCTGCTGCAGTCCTTCCCTCTACCACGAAGAGGCTGAGGTATCAGAACCAGTTTTATTACTCTTTCTTAATTTTTAAGGTCGGAAAGGACCTCTGAGGATAAGCCTTGCCCATCCTTTCCTCAAACTGTGGCGCTGCTCCAAGTACTTCGCTCTCCGAGGGTCACCGTGAAAGCGATTTTTCACTTTGCAGGTCTGAAAACACGTTTCGCCTTGGTGCGCCTCTTTAAAAAACACATCAGTAAGTTCGCATCAGATGCGACAGCAGACACACACACACACACACACACACACACACACACACACCAAAAACTAAATGCTTGCTTAGAAAAATAAATCTTGGGTATCTTTTGAAAATTTCTGCAATCTCTTTATGAAACTGGAGGGATTCAATGCGTGCGTGAAAACGCTCCGTCTACTGCAGGGCTGTATCCACCTGCAATTAGGGCGTGCCCCCTCTTTCAGGGATCTGGGTGCCTCCTGGAGGAAATCCATGGATTCCTGACTGCATCTGTTACCTATTTGTTGTAGGGAATCGAGGAAGACTCATGCGGTTATTTTCTGTCCGTCCTAGCACTAGATGTCTAGCTGTCTCCGCCAGCCACCACACCCGCGCAGCAGCGTTTTGCTGAAAACCAGACACCTGCAGGGCTTGTGGAAATCATCAGGTTGGGTGCCACACAAGTGTAAAAAGAGGGGAGGAAACTTCTAATGCGATGGAGGTGGTGGTATCCAGCAGGGATTTAGCTGGGTGAACAAAGAGACAGCCTTAAATTCCCCGGTTGCAAGGCGCACCGCACCGCTGACTAGCAAGTCGGTTTATGCCTGGTTAGTTTCAAACTACTCCCGGCTCTCCTCCACCTACACATTTCAACACGCAAAAAGCATTCAAGGCTTCATACCCCGAGAAGAAATGAGAAAAATCTAGGAACACTAACCCGTTGATTAACTGCTCTAAAGTTAGAAATGCTAAAAAGAACACCTGCAGTGCTGCGGTTTACGTGTGTGCACGTGTGCGTCTATGTGTGTGTGTGTGTGTGTGTGTGTGTGTGTTTGGGGGCAGGTTCCCTATGCTGAGAAGCCGCGCGTTAAAGAAAAAGAACTAGGAGAAACAAAGATGAAGTAAAGAAAATGCCAGAAACAGCTACAAAGAAATGTAAAACTTCCCACCCTAAATGCCGCATCCCTGCAACCTTTGCCTATTATCTGAATCTCAAATGTTCTAGAGGCATTGCAACATTCCCACAAACCCCAAGGGGGTGGAGGGTTACTAAGGGGGGGTCCTTAGTGGGTAAGGGACGAGTTGGGGGTCAGGGTATCACACCGGGTATGAAAAACTAAGATGACAGTAGGGAAACAGAACCTGTTATTGGGGACACTTAAAAACCCGAGTGATACGGGATCCAAGTATAATAAGCAAGACGAGGCTGGGTGAAGGGAGGAAGAGAAAGGAAATGAGTAGGGGGTCTATGGGGTCTCAGAGAAAAGACAGAGCCTCCGAGGAAAGCGGAAAGAAAGAAATACGCAGCTTCGCAGCTGCCGGTCGCTCGCCCCCGCCTTCTCTTTTGCGCAGAATCCACCCCTTGGCTGCAGCAGCGCTCTGCCCCCACTGGCCGGCGCGCAGTGATCGATCGCAGGCTGCGTCACAATCCTCCCGGCGTATAAATAGGGGTGCAGACCAGCGCCGAGCCGCACACAGCCATCCATCCTTCCCTTTCCCTTTCTCCCCCGTCCTTCCTCCTCTCCAGGCCCCCATCTCCGCCGCGGGCCGGGGGGCTCTGGCCGCCAGCATGAGTTCCTTTAGCTACGAGCCGTACTACTCGACCTCCTACAAGCGGCGCTATGTGGAGACTCCCCGGGTGCACATCTCCGGCGTGCGCAGCGGCTACAGCACCGCGCGCTCCGCTTACTCCAGCTACTCGGCCCCGGTCTCCTCCTCGCTCTCCGTGCGCCGCAGCTACTCGTCCAGTTCCGGCTCCTTGATGCACAGCCTGGAGAACCTCGACCTGAGCCAGGTAGCCGCCATCAGCAACGACCTCAAGTCCATCCGCACTCAGGAGAAGGCGCAGCTCCAGGACCTCAACGACCGCTTTGCCAGCTTCATCGAGCGCGTGCACGAGCTGGAGCAGCAGAACAAGGTGCTGGAGGCCGAGCTGCTGGTGCTGCACCAGAAGCACTCCGAGCCGTCCCGCTTCCGGGCGCTGTACGAGCAGGAGATTCGCGACCTGCGTCTGGCGGCGGAAGACGCTACCAACGAGAAGCAGGCGCTCCAGGGCGAGCGCGAAGGGCTGGAGGAGACTCTGCGCAACCTGCAAGCGCGCTACGAAGAGGAGGTGCTGAGCCGCGAGGACGCCGAGGGCCGGCTGATGGAGGCGCGCAAAGGCGCAGACGAGGCGGCGCTGGCCCGCGCTGAGCTCGAAAAGCGTATCGACAGCCTGATGGACGAAATCGCTTTTCTGAAAAAAGTGCACGAAGAGGAGATCGCCGAGCTGCAGGCGCAGATCCAGTATGCACAGATCTCGGTGGAGATGGACGTGTCCTCCAAGCCCGACCTCTCCGCCGCGCTCAAGGACATCCGCGCGCAATATGAGAAGCTGGCCGCCAAGAACATGCAGAATGCCGAAGAGTGGTTCAAGAGTCGATTCACGGTGCTGACCGAGAGCGCAGCCAAGAACACCGACGCGGTGCGCGCTGCCAAGGACGAGGTGTCCGAGAGCCGTCGCTTGCTCAAGGCCAAGAC